CATACTGTTGTGCAACCACCACTACCATCCATCTCCAGAACTTTTTCATCTTCCTCAAATGAAACTTTATTCCCATTAAACACTAACTCCGCCCTCCCCAACACACAAGGCCCTGGCAGCCACCAGTCTATTTTCTGTCTCTGTGGATTGACTCCTTAAGCAATGCCACTTTGGATGCTAAAAGAAACTGAGGAGTAATGAGGTAGGTAGAGAGAAGGAAGAGAGGACGGTCAATAAGAGTTGCTACTTTATTCAATGCTTTCAGTTGTGCCCAAAACAACCACCAACACTTGACATGCACTAGCTCCTTTAGGTGCTGTTCTCATCCAAGAGGCAGAACCGTGCAGAGGGGTTAAGTGGCTGCCCCGGGTCACATGGCTTAAAGGGCCGGAAGTGAGGTTTTCGCTCAGGTTAGTTTGATGTCTAAACCCAAGTGGTAACCATTACGTGTTCCCTTCTCCTCACAACCACCCTGAAAAAATAAAATTCCTCTGACTCTGTTTTCTGTCTTCCAGTCATTCTGGTTACCAGAGTCTTTATTCATTCTTTGGGAAGAAGTTACCAAGACATTTTGAGAGCTGGATGTGGGCTGATGAAGTGAAAATGAACATAAGGGTTCAATTCTCTGTCAACCCCTCATCCCTGGCTTTCCTGCTGCTCATCAGAAGAGCCAGGATTTCAAACCAGCTCGCCTGTCTATACATTTCACACTTGCCTAAATGGTGAAAACAGAAAAAGGCCAGATGAAGAGACTGGGACGTCTTGAAGGCAAACACGAGGTGTCCTTGACAATGTCATTGACTTGGGCCTCATCAAAGCATTTAAAAGAATTGATGTCTGGGCCCCCTCTGTTCCTGAAAACATCCAGCAGCAAAAGGTAACCTGGTCCTCCCCCTCTCCAACTAGCCTCGCTGCCTTGGCCAAGTGAGCATTTCCAAACTGGAGGGCCTCTATGGCACCCGTGCTTCTGTCAGAAACCTTCAGTGGCTCCCAGCTACCTAGGGGATGAAGGCTCCTCAGTCTAAAGACTCTTCTTTTCCCAGCAACTTTCGATGCCCCTTGTAGAACTTCTTGCTCCCTTTCTCTCTGCCCTGTTCCTGGAGAACATTCCCACATCTCACCCTGTCACACGAGCACCTCTCTGTACGATCCACCGGCCCCTCCAGCCCGGTGGACTCACTTCTCTCTGCTTGTGCCAGGGATTGGCCCTCAGTCCAGGGCAAGAGGGTCTGACTCTTCAGAGCACCCTGATGAGGTAGTAGAACAGCCTTTATCTCGGATCTCAGCTTAGCTACTTGGGAGATTTCGATCCTATGTTATGTAAACAGCATCTCTGGGACTCGATTTCTAAACTGCAAAATGGGAATGTGGACACAATCTCAGAGCTAGTCTGACAATGAAAGGAGACACACTGCATATAACACTCTTAGCTCAGGGCGAACAGCCAACCCATGATGGCTGCTTTTACCCCCTCATCGGGCATTTACCCTGAGCCAGGCTCTGTGTTACGTGCTCCACAAACATCTTGCAGAAGCCCCACCACAATGACAAAAACCACATGAGCCCCAATGAGAAGAGGAAGGCCCAAGAGCGGAATGACCTTTCCAAGGTCACTCAGCCAAAGCTGGATCTCTGAGACTTAAAACTCCCTGCCTTGTCTTTTCATGAACTTCCTCACCGAACTGGAAAGAGCCCGGTCCACACCTGTTGACTATCCTGTCTTTCAAAATGCTCCTTAAGACTCCAAAGTGGGGGTGTGAAGGTGTGTGTGGGGGGTGGGGGGGATACTCTGCCTCGATTTATGAAATCTGGGCCAGTGGGCTTTGTTAGAAACTCTAGCAGATTTTGTGTGTTCCTTGCCATGACTCTCCGCGAGGCTGGCGGGTCATAGAAACAGGCTCCTGCGCTTTGGGGGTGGTTTAAGAGTCTTACTTTCAATAGCAAGCTGCTTGGAAATGTCAACTTTATTCTATTTCCATTTCCTAGGACTTAAATTGTCACAGATAACGAAGTCTGTCTTTCAATGCTGCAATTAGAATCTCCCCAAACTAGAATAGTAAGGGAAGGTTTTAAATATGATACAGAGGCTCAAAATATTAAAAGAGCGAGGAGCCTAGAAGAGCCTCACCACATTCAGTGAAAAAGAGGCCCCAAAAAGCTAAGATTTGCCCCAGGTCATGCTCACCCCAACTCTGCCTCCCTAGCTGATCCTACTGTCTGTCCCACCTCCTACAGAATCAAAAAGATGATGAGGACAGGATCATAAATCACTTTTTTTCTCCCGAGTTTACAGTGTTCGTTTCTGAGGAGTTCAAAAGCGCCCAGTAATAAACCAAGGTGATGAGTTTACGTCTTTTGCTTTTAAAATGAAAACTTTATTTGAACTCCTGGAGAGGCATTTATGTTTTTTTTTTTTTTAATTTAGGACATTCCTCTCTTGTTCCAACTTTTCGCCCTGATGGCATTTTCTGTGGGCGGGTGGGTGATGAGGGTGGGTGAAGGGGGAGGGGGAGGGGTTTGTGCCTGTCCCTCCCCTGTTCTCCCACCGGCTTTTCCGAATGCCTCAAAGACATTCTCCCTTCTATGGTTTTAACAAGTCTCAACATCCATGCAGAGAAGTCCCTCCCCCCACCCCCACGCCGACTTGGCTGTTTCTGCTTTGGTGCCTCTCTCCACTGCCCACGGCCTCGCCACAGCCACTAAGAGCAAAGAAATCACAGAAAGGCCGTGCCATCTGCAGATCAGGCGGCCATTGAGGGCCACTTGGCTTTTCTTCACCCTAGTCATCTCTTGCCACTGTCCTTGGGGGATCAGAAAAAGAAGCCAAACAGTTAGCAAAGGTAATAAAGCTGAGAATAACTACACTTTAAGAAGAAGATGAAAAAGAGGATGAGAGAGAGGGAGGGGGAAAGAGAAAGGGAGAAATTAAGATGCCTGCCTTTTCGCACCTCCTACACCAATCCCGGTTTGAAACAAATGTGAAACTGTCTTGCCCAAGCATTTTTGCTAATGGTTTTACTCAGGTGTTAAGCCAAATTTCAGTAACTAACCACATGTAAATACCGTCTGGCCACCGTACAACCTTTCTAAACAGAAACATGGTGTCTGTGTGGGGTGAGGGAGGCCTGTTGCTTGTAAGCAGGTAGAACCGCACGCTTAGCTTCTGGGTCCCTGCATTCAATAAATATTTGGTGAATGAATAAACCCAAGAAGTACTTAATGATTCGATATCCATCTGGGTTTTTATTCCCCCTGGCTTCGCAAGCCAGCGGGCCAAACCTTACAAGACTCTCCAAGTAAAATCACTTCAGGGTTGTTCTAGGTACAGGAGGAAACAATGGGAGAAGAAGGGGGTGTCCCTGGGAGTCCAGTTCCAATCCATTTACAGACACAACAAACGCGAAGGTGGAGTCCCACCAAACTGGGGCAAAGAAAATTACGACAAGCTGCCGAGACCCGCATAGCAGCAGCTCGAGTAGAGGAGAAAAAATTCTATTCGGAGCACACTGCCTACAAGGAAAGCACTGTTCCTGCAGCCTTTGGATGTAGCTGGCATTCCTCCTAGGAAAACATTAAAATATTCTCAAGGGGGGGTGGGGGGGGTCACTGTTCTCCTAGCATCATTAGGCAGTTCTGGCCAACTATGTAAACGACCAAGTATCAGGGCCTGGGCCACCTAAAACACCTCAGTTCAACTTTGTGAACTACACACCAAACAGATAACTCCTGTGCCTGCATGTTTGTTTTCCCTATAAAGGGGCACAAGAACTTGACAAGTGCTAACGCACTACTTAGAAGAGAGGTGGGAGGCAAAAATCACAGATGGGACCCATGAGACATTCCAGAAGAAATTGGTTGGGATATCTTTAAGGCAGGGAAGGCGCCCTCCAAAGTATCCTGCATGGGTATGGAAGCCATCTCTTCTGCGTGGATCTCCCAAGAAATCCTGAGGAGCCCAGGAACCAGGACCGCCCCCCCCTCCACCCCCTTCCCAGCTATCTCCCCTCAGGACCTAGAACAGCAGCTTCTGAGAATATAAAAAATATCCAGGCGATAACACTATCCTTAGGACATACCACGCTTCCTCCAATCAAAATTCTAATAACTTTCTCCAAACCTTTCCCTTGCACACAATGATCCAGTTTAAAACAGGTTGTTACCCTGTCATATTTTAAGATCACTGATGAATGGTTTTCCAAAATAAATTTATTTCTATCTTATACTGCAGTCAGAGGTAATGCTGATATTCTTGGCTTAAAAAAAAAAAGAGAGGCTATTTTAGTCCTTCTAAATAGGATGACAACAGCCAATGGCAGGCAGCGAACATGTTTTGAGAGCTTATTCTGTGCTAGACGCTTGCATCTCATCTCCCCTCCTAACCATCCTATGAGGTAAGTTCTAATACAGGAGCATAATTGCTGTCTGCCATTCTGAAACCAAAAAAGCTCTAAGACCCAAAAGTTTTTCCATAGCTTACTTGGCAGCAAAACTTAATGGACCTGAACTCATTTGGGAGGCGAAGCTGCCCTGACTTAACACGAGGCTATTTCGATTTTAGTTAACCCACTAATGTGACTATCCATAAAGTTTGCTACACAAATATGAGTGTATATGACACCTTAATACCTTCCTAAAGCCTCAAAGTCTCAGAATTCTGAAACATCTGGCCCTAAGGATATAAGATCAGGTATGGTGACTCTCTATTATCAACCCATTTCACAGGTACGGAACTGAGAGTCCTTGAGGGGAAGTGACTTGCCTAAGGCTACAAAGTGGACAAGAGGGGGAGCTGACGGGGGCTGGCAGTCTCCATCAGAGTCCAAGCTGGTAGTACCACGGTGGGCAGCCACGACACGTCTTAGCGCTCCACCCACTCGACGCCATCTGGGAAAGAGCACTGTGCCAGCAAGGATTTTCTCTGAACCAACTATTTTGAGGAACGGAGGAAATGGCAGCGTGGAGAACACCCATCAGAACGGGAGAGATTCGGAGGGACTTACCTTGCCCAGGACAGTGAGGCATGGTTTCGGGTCCAATTCTGGCTGTTCCAGCTTCACCACTCCCACCCAGCCATATTCATACAAGTCCTCTTCGTCATTGTTATTACATAGGCCCAGTGGGTGCATCTAGGAAACAAAAGGCAAAGAAAACTTCAATACACAGGCTGCAGGTATGATTGACGCACATTTCTCAGACTCCACAGTCAAAAGTACCTCAAAACTTAAAATTAAATGGGGGTGGGGGGCGCATTTTTCAACCCACGGGGAATCCCGTCTCAGCACGAGCTGAGCACTGGGGAGAAAACAACGGAGCCACTATAAATATACTTAGAGGCCCGATGCACGAAATTCGTGTAAGAGTAAGCCTTCCTTCCCCTGGCTGCTGGCACCCGGAACCTGGGCTTCCCTCCAGCCACTGGCAGGCACCCAGGACCCGGGCTTCCCTCCAGCCTGGCTTCGTCCAGAAGGTGGGCTGGAAGGACATCCGGAAGGATGTCCGGTCTAATTAGCATATTACGCTTTTATTATTATAGATTTTATGGATGCTTTCTCACTGTTTTGTACACAGTCGTCACCCAAGGTGGACACCACCCTATGGGATGTAGGGAAAAATAGCATAGCGCCCATGCAAATGCCGATCTAATTTGCTGTGTGATACCGTAACATTGAGTAGCAGTTACAAAATGAGACTAGCAAGGTTAGTATCCAAGACTATTTGGCCTCTAGACCTTAACAGTGCAGCACTGACTTCAACTTCTGCAAGAGGAAGCACTGGAATGTGGAAACACATTCACGAATATATGGAGAGACCACTAGAAACGTGGTAGAATCACCAGGAGAATGGACAGGCTGTTCCTGGGAAACAGATTACATTCTTTAAAGCTTTTTCAGAATTTACAAAGCACAGAAATCAAAGATAGGTAGAGGAACATCATCCAATTTTTTGCTATAAAAGCGCAGCCCACGGAAACCTGAAAACAGAACAATCCTAGGGTTTGCACTCAGAGGCCTATCACTGAGTTGAATCAGGCCCTAGAATCCCTAATAACAAGTTGAGAAGACAAAATCCTCATAGATAAACATAATTAATCAAGACGTTAATGAGCCTAGTACAGTGCCAGGCTCCATAAATAACTGGGAGAAATCTGTCTAGCTTTATAGCATATTCGAGATACAAGAGACCTAAAATCCCATGGTGGCAGACAGAGTAATGGCCCCGATGTCCTAATCACGCCTAATCCCTGCCAGGCTCCATAAATAACTGGGAGAAATCTGTCTAGCTTTATAGCATATTAGAGATACAAGAGATCTAAAAACCCACGGTGGTTAGTATCCAAGACTATTTGGCCTCTAGACCTTAACAGCGCAGCACTGACTTCAACTTCTGCAAGAGGAGCTGGAAACACATTCACGAATGTATGGAGAGACCACTAGAAACGTGGTAGAATCACCAGGAGAATGGACAGGCTGTTCCTGGGAAACAGATTACATTCTTTAAAGCTTTTTCAGAATTTACAAAGCACAGAAATCAAAGATAGGTAGAGGAACATCATCCAATTTTTGCTAGTAAAAGCGCGCCCACGGGAAACCGGAAAACAGAACAATCCTAGGGTTTGCACTCAGAGATCTATCACTGAGTTGAATCAGGCCCTAGAATCCCTAATAACAAGTTGAGAAGACAAAATCCTCATAGATAAACATAATTAATCAAGACGTTAATGAGCCTAGTACAGTGCCAGGCTCCATAAATAACTGGGAGAAATCTGTCTAGCTTTATAGCATATTAGAGATACAAGAGATCTAAAAACCCACGGTGGCAGAGTAATGGCCCCGATGTCCTAATCACGGCCTAATCCCTGTGAATATGTTACCTCACGTGGCATAAGAGACTTTATATTTATAGATGTGAGTAAGTTTGAGGGGGGGATGTTATCCGGGATTAACGGGGTGGGTCCAATGCAGTCACAAGGGTCCTTCATGGACACAGGGAGGAGATGGAGCAATGGGCTTTGAAGATGAAGGAGGGAGCCATGAGCCAAGGAATGCAGGCAGTGGACCTCCAGAAGCTGAAAAGGACAGGAAATGGGTTCTGCCTAGAGCTTCCGGAAGGAACATTGCCCTGCCAACCCATTTTTGACTTCGGACCTCTAGAACAGCGAGAGAATAGATTTGTGTTGCTTTAAACCACTGAGTTGTAGTAACTTGTTATAGCAGCAGATAGGAAGGTAATATACCCTCCTTAACCCCCACTCCTTTTACAGATGAGAATATATAAGTTCAGGAGAAGTCATTTTGCCAAGACAACACAGCCAGCAGACGGCTGTACCCAGAGGTGACCTGGGTCTTGGATTCATGGTCCAGTGCCTTCCCACTTTACCTGCTTAACTTAATTGTCCCTTCCTCTGAGCGCTGGTCATCTCACTGGGGAGAAGAGGCTAAGTAATAACATCTTCATTTTAAAAAGTTGCCCACCAGCTCTAAATCCTGTGGCGTCAGAGTGCAACACGAGCTTAGGGCAGGAAGCAAGGGTTGCTAGAATGTTCGGGGAGGCTTTGTGCAACTGCTGAGCCTTCCTTGAGCTGAACTTCCAAGGGAGAGTGGACTGGTCAGGGAAAAATGAGAGACGGCAGGCGGTCACTCCAAGCCCAGGGCGGAGAAGCTAAGGGCTTGAGGGCGAAGAGAAATGAGAGCAGCCGGATGAGTATGGACGGCCACAGTCTACACCAGAAAGGAAAGGGATGGGCTAGACGACTAAATAGGAATTTAAACACCAAGAAAATAGCATCGATTCTTCAGTAGAAAAATGGCACATGGAAAACAGCATATTTTAGGCAGATGGTGACACACCTCTGGCAGCACTGTCCTTGGACTCTAGAGGCATCGATGCGTGGAGGGCTGACGAGTGCAGCTCAGAGAAGAAAGATCCTGGGCAATTCAATGGAACAACAAGGAGGATGCACAAGCTCGTGAGGCAGATGAGCACAGGGTGCTACAAGGGGTGTCCAACTGCTGTCTGTATGAGCCGTGGGGCCTCCAGTTTCTGCGTGAGTCCTGAGGCGTAAAGAGCGTGCCCAAAGGACCAGTGAGGGTTCTGCATGCGGTGGATGGCACCGCCTTCCCACCAGCTGCCCCTGAAGAACCAGCCCACTCCAGAACGTTCAAAGGTTATTAAGTGACGAGCAGCTTGAAATGTAGACCTCACAGTGGAGAGAGGGTGGGTGAGGGTGATAAGCGAATCGTGCCCACAGCTCAGTCACCCCTGACCTCCAGGAAAGGTCTCTGAGCCGGACTCAAGTCAGCTTCCTGAAACCCTAGGTCAAGTCGTGTCCATGGCAACCATCCACACTGTTGACCCTTTTCTGCAGTATTCCATGATATCTGAGGCCTGGCCACGTGATTTGGAGGTTTCCAGATGGATAGTTGCATTTTGTTACTTACACATGTATGGGGTTTGGCCAATACTCAAGAGCTGGGTTGGGGGAGCAGAGATATCATGCACTCTATGACCTTGTATTTATAGCAAAGAAGCCAGACACAAAAGATCACGTGTTATATGATTTCACTGCTATGAAATATCCAGAATAGACAAATCCAGCAAGTTGGTGTTTGTTGAGGTGGGGGTGGGGTTGGAGGGAATGGGGAGGAAGGGCTGCTTTGGGGTGAAATCAGTTGGTGGTGATGGTTGCAGAACACTGCTAACGTACTCAATGCCTCTGCACTGTATACCTGTGTTTGTTGAGGTGGGGGTGGGGGTGGGGGAATGGGGAGGAAGGACTGCTTTGGGGTGAAATCAGTTGATGGTGATGGTTGCAGAACACTAACGTACTCAATGCCTCTGCACTGTATACTTTAAAATGGTTGAAATGGTGAATTTTAGATCAATTTTACCATAATAAAAAAAGTTGTAAAAAGTGTCCCTAGAGTTTCCTCAGAGAAGACTGCCCTCAGCTAACAGGGGAATCCACAGTGGAGGGTGATGTGGTTTCCCCCTTCCAGAGCCTAAGCCGATTACCGCAGCCCTTCTGGAGATGGGCTCCAGTAGAAGACTAGCCCTGTAAGATGAAAAACAGGTTCCTGTACGAGTAAAGAACTTGAGAAAGACTTCAGAGGGACTCAGGATTCACATTTATAAATTAAAGGTCTGCAGAGGCCTAAGGTTTAAAAAAACAAAAGGTTTTTAACCTTTATGAAAACCAGCATTTCCTACCCTTTGATTATAAGCCCATTTGGTGTTTAATATGGTCACACTGTTTCACGGCACAGGCTTTGAGAAATGCATACACGCATGACAGAATAAACCTAAAGCAAATATGACTCAAATGCTGAACACCCATGACACAAAGAATAAGGGATATAGTGAAAGAGACGAGGGACAGCTGAGGCTGGGGGGGGGCGGGGGGCAGGATGTGGAGAAGGGAGAGGAGGAGGAGGATCAGGAACAGAAACCAAGGGCGGCAGAAGCAGAAGGCAAAGCCGAGAACTGGCACTTTCAAGCCATAGTGAGGAGGAAGTGGGTCTGACCAGGTCGGAGGCTCATGCTGTGGAAAGCAAAACCCAGGGTCACATTCAAGAGCGTGTCCCTGGGTATCCAGGAACCTGAACGCCGTAAGCCTCACGCACACCTACTGGTCCCCTCGGGTCTAGCAGGCCTGGTGCCCTGGCTGCACTTCATGGCGGGCCCTCTGCCCTCCACTCTCCTCCAAGACGCCCCTATCGAATCTTCCACTGACACTGGGGTGACTGTTAGCAGCTCAAAATGTCAGTCCTGTCAAGGGTGTTGACTTCTGAGCAGAGATCAAAGACTTAAAAACCAAAAGGAATTTTTCTAAAGTGCCAGTGGGTGTGATTGATTGGCGTCGGTTGTTTATTTTCCCATGGAGGGCAAAGAGGCCACCAAAATAAAATCACATCTCAGAGGATCGAAACTCCACCTCACGCTCTCCACCACCTTCCCAGCTCCACTTTGTGGAGTTCCTTCTCCCCCGAGTTCCTTATCCCAGTTTCCATGCCCAGGTGCCCAAACTACTGGTCCTGTTAATGTCGTCTCAACTACGTTTTAAGTGTAAGTGACCTCTTCACTCATGCAACAAATATTGAATAATTCAGGTCTCTGTCAGCTCGCCCTGATGGCAATGTCAGCTTCTGGAACTGCCCACCACCCCGGGCCGCCAACCATTTACACCCTGGAGTTCTCTTTTCCCAAGGGCTCCAAGTCATGAGTGTATCAGAATGTGTATAGGGAAGCACAAGTAGCCATAACATGAAAACATTCCTTTGTGAACTGATCTATCTCAAAGGATGGAATAGTCGAGGCAAAGTCATAAAATGCAAATGGATAAAAACCAATCTGGGGAAAATGAAGAAGGGGATGGCTTTCCTGTTAACTGAGCATCTACTATATTTATATATTGTATTTAATCCTTTTAGTAGCCTCTTACAAACCCTTGGGACATCCGATGATATAATGACTAGACCAAGTAAATAAGCTGCAAACTAGAATTGCAAATCAGCCACTGATGCAGAATGTAATGGAGTCCACAAAAGTCCTATTAGTCAAAAACAGGATTCTACTCAAAATCGATGGCAACCAGTCTAGTGAAGGATTAAAGAAGAAGGAATCCACACAGGAGTTTCCACTGAGAATGGTCAAAGGATTAAGACAGAACTTTGGAAAAAGTGAGAGTCCTCGAATATTTTTGGAAAAATGACTTTTGATGATCCTGTAACTGAAGTCAAACACAAGAAGGAGGCCACATCCATACTCCCATGCAATTTTGCTGAAAATATCCCAACACTGCCGAAATGGGGTTCACTCTTCGTTTATTCTCAGAAATCAGTACAAAGCAATTATACTTTAACTTATTAAATTAAAATGTAAACTATCATTTTCAGTTTCATTTTTCAAGGTAAAGCCCTAATCAAACTTTTTCCCCACTACGTACCAAGAAATATTAGCCCCTAATTTAAAAAGATCCCGAAGTCCTTTTCTGGAAAATAATCATATAGATCGATAATGAGGACTTCCTACATATGGAATGCATATACTCTCCTGAAGAGTCAATTAGATATTGCTTTCACACGGTCACTCCCAACAGTTGTTACATAAAAACCAGATAGTTAATTCATACATGTTGACATCAGCCGATGACATACAGGCAGTGACTACATATAAGATCTGTGTGCACTTCTGAATATGTAATCATTCCAAATGAACCTTAGGGTACTTCCATGAATGATGTTCAAGCATGTTAACTGTGAAATTAATGTGGTACATGATGAGCACTTAAAAATTATAGGTATTTGACCTTATTTTCTTAAAATGTTTGACTGTATGGGGTTTACCTGATCAGATGTTTGAAATTTAAGAAGTTCTTGTCTTAATATTTTTTAAGCAGGTTAAAACTGGTTGAACTGTGTATAAGAACTCGGGGACGTCAAAAAGAACTACTAATGAAAATAGAAAGGAAAATCAAATAAACTCGAAAATCTAGAATGGAATTTGAGAAAGACTCCACTGGACAGAGAACACTGAAGAAAGGGAAGGACGGCTGGAAATGAGAAGACAAGCAAAATCCTGGGACAGGTCCACAGAACAACAACACAAGCACTTAACGAGAAACAATTGAAGGGCAAGGATGTAACAGGAAAAAATGTCCTGTGTTCTATCTTTGGCCTTCTGCTATCAGAACTTTGAGATGCTCAATGTCCTTGCCTAAGTCAACTGAAGGGAAATGCCCAGTGGGTTCTTTATCAGGAGGTTTGACACTATCGTGAAGCTGCGGCTCCTACTCTCTTCCTCTGTGATTTTGTTCCAAAGAGGGTTCCAGAATGAAAAGAGTAAGAGATGTGGAATCATACAACTTTGTGTTTAAAACTCCTGCCTCTGATGAGGCACATCTCCTTGGGCAGATGATTCAGTTCCTATAAACCTTGATTTTCCCATCTGTAAAACAGGGAGCATAGTATCTGACTCAACAGGGTGCTGCTGTAAGGATTAAATGCGATAACATATATAATCATAGTAGCACAGCAGACGCTCAATCAGTGGGAAAGCCTTCTCCTCCTTCACTTTCTCTAGACTTGTCGTGTTTGCTTTTCTTTATGGCTTTGCCTAGAACACTCTGTCCTTCGAGACCAGTTTAAATGTCACCCCTTCTATGGAGCTTTCTTGAATGCACCAATATAGCCAGTTGTTTCCACCACGATGTCCCCAAATGCTCTGTTTGGTGCTTACCACAGTTTTTTCAGCCTCCCCTCTAAGATGGGCACCTGCTTCTAGAACAGCGGTTCTCAACCTGTGGGTCGTGACCCCTTTGGGGGTCGAACAACCCTTTCACAGGGGTCGCCTAAGACCATCGGAAAACACATATATAATTACATATTGTTTTTGTGATTAATCACTATGCTTTAATTATG